TTTCAAGTTGTCAGGTCTGAGATTTGAACCATACAGTCAAGCATCAAGCAGTGGGATCCAGCTGCTTCATCTCCATGCCATCTTCTGGCCCCTCAATGCTTTTTTTTTTTTTTTTTAATGAGAGTGAGAGAAAGACAGACACAGGCATTTTTAACAGAGTCTTCCTGTCTCCTGCCTCTTGCCTCCTGCCTCTTGCAGTTAGCTAGGATTACAGGTGCATTCCACTGCATCTGACCTGTTTAAGTTCAGGTTGGGAACTGAACCCCGGTTCCCATGTGGCCCCGGCCTTGTGCATCAACATCCCACTGCTGATGCCCCAGTGGCTGGGCCTGTCTCTCTTATCCACAAAAAATATCCAATCAAAAGATGAAATGAGCTGAACAGACAACTCTCCAAAGAAGATATGTGATGCAAAGATGATTTATCAGAAGGGAAATTCAAATAAAAACTGCAATGAGATACCACTTAATCTCTGTCAGAATGACTAAGATTAAAAAATAATGAGGGGCCAGCAGGTTGTGTGGTGGTTGAGGTGCTGGACTCCCACATGGCCAACCACGATTTGAGTCCCAGACCTGGTAGCTTAAAAATCACACCAGGCTTTTGTGTCCAAAATCCCAGCAGGAGATTGGAGGAGAAGGGATTGTGGCATCCCCCTGTGGGGTGACTTCTCACTTTCTTTCTCTCTGGCAAGCACACACGCCCTATGGGAAAAGATTTAAAAATAAATAAGTAAATAATGATATGTGTTGATGAGGCTGAGGTAGAAATGTTTCTACTGTTGGTAGAAATGTAAATTAGTACAACCACTGTGGAAAACAATATGGAAGTTCTTCAAAAACCTGAAAATAGACCTAGTAATTCTACTCCTGGGAACCTACCCAAAGGATAGGGAAACACAAAGTCAGAAAAAACCTTGTACATCCATGTTCATTGCAAGATTATTCACAATTGCTAAGACATGGAATCAACCCAAATATGCAAGAGTACATGAATGGATGGAAAAAATGTGGTACATATATGCTTGGAATACTACTCAGCCAGAAAAAACAATGACACCCTGATACAAAGTGGATGAATACGGAGGAATTAATGTTAGGTTAAGCAGGCCGGACTACGAAAGAGAGGCATTGTATGTCCCGGCTTAATATGTACTGAATGTGTCCACTCTATGGCAGAAACTGAAAGACTGGAAGATACAAATGAAGACGGGGGGAGGGGGCAACCGTAGATACTAGAAACACTATAGAAGGGGAGTGGGTAGTTGGAGAAGGGGAATCAAGGGAAGAAAGAACGTTTAACAGGCACAAAAATGAAAAGCTATCTGTTGATCATAACATGTATGGTAATGTCTTGGACTGCATTAATATGCAATATATTCATAGGGGAAAATCATTATGTATGCTGCAAGGATGGACAGCAATTAATGTAAAAACAAATGTAAATTAAATGTACAAAATAATTAAATGTAAAAAATAAATGTAAAAATGTAATAAAATGTATTAAATGTAAAAATGGTTAAGAAAGAAATACACCATGCTCCTAAAACTTTGATCAAATTTCATTCATACTAAGTCCTGTGCATGGTACTGGGACACTGTGAAGAAGACAGACATGTCCCTTCTTGTCAGACTCATAGCCTTGCAGGGAAGGCAGCTGCAAGGCAAGAAATGAAACATAGAGTGAAGGGTGACAGGCAGGGCAAATGCAATCAGCCATCAGGCTTTGGACCTGTGATAGACCACCAGGGGTGACAGTATGCAGTGATGTCTGTAGGTTCTTGACTGCACTGTCACATCATTGATTCACAAGTACATATGGTATCAATCTGGTGTCGGCCTTGTCCAAATTAGGGATTGCCACTTAGAGTTCTTTTTGCCAATTTGTCAGATGAAAATATCGTTTTAAGTTTGTGTTTTGTGATCGAATCTAATCATGTTTTTAAAACGTATGCTAGAAATTTGTCAGTGTTCAGTGCACTGTCTCTGCATGGTGTCCTCTTTTTTAATGCTCAATGATCTTTTTATGAGTATGTTAGAGGGTACATGTGCTTGCCAGAGTGAGACATGGGGAGAGGGAGAGAGAGAATCCCTCTCCTCCATTCTCCTCTGGGGACTTTGGGCACACACACACATACCTAGCATGATTTTCAAGTTGTCAGGTCTGAGATTTGAACCATACAGTCAAGCATCAAGCAGTGGGATCCAGCTGCTTCATCTCCATGCCATCTTCTGGCCCCTCAATGCTTTTTTTTTTTTTTTTTAATGAGAGTGAGAGAAAGACAGACACAGGCATTTTTAACAGAGTCTTACTGTCTCCTGCCTCTTGCCTCCTGCCTCTTGCAGTTAGCTAGGATTACAGGTGCATTCCACTGCATCTGACCTGTTTAAGTTCAGGTTGGGAACTGAACCCCGGTTCCCATGTGGCCCCGGCCTTGTGCATCAACATCCCACTGCTGATGCCCCAGTGGCTGGGCCTGTCTCTAACACTTTGGATATCAACTTGCTTCAGTACTTATCCAATAACAATATAAATTTTGGGGGGGGTATCAGCAATTAGCATAATGGCTGTGTCGCTGGCCTCCTACATGGCTTGATGGTGGTTTGAGTCCCAGACGTGGCAACTTGAAACTCTTACCAGGTGCATGTGCATGAGGGCATGCCATAAATCTGGCCATTACCTCTGGGGGGTGATTTCTCACTTTCTATTTTTCTGTCTCTCTCTATCTGGAGAGTGCATGCACCCTGAAGCAAAAATCTGTCAGAAATAAAGAAAAACTCACCAAAAAAAAAAAAAAAAATATATATATATATATACATTTTTTGCCTGGCATGATTCTTGTTAATACCATTCTCAATTTATTGTATTTTCAATGCCTTTTTTTTTTTGCTTTATGAAATATAGAAGTTTTAAATGTTAGGTAGACAAACCTATCAGTTTTGTGTGTGTGAGAGAGAGACTTCTTATTTTGAAATTTAGAAAGTTGGTCCCCATCCAGAAATTTGATTAACATTCACTTTTATTTTCTTCTGGTTACTTATTAATTGATTTTCCACATTTCACTTTTTAATCTATTCAGTGCTCATATTGTTATGTGGTATGTTGTGAGACATTTTCACTGAATAATCAATACTTGCTACATCACCTGCTGAATAGTCCTTATGCTTCCTGTGACTTGCAGCTCTCTTTTAAAGTACGATATTAAACTGCAGCTATTGGGACCAGCAGGCAGTGTAATGGTTACATCGCCGGATTCCCACCTAGTCGACTGTGGTTTGCATCCTGGACAAAGCAGCTTGAAATTCACACCAGGCACATGTGCATGCAGGCCCAAAATCGCGAGGAGAATGTAGGAGAAGGGACTGCAGCATGGCCATCCCCCCTGGGGGGTGATTTCTTGCTTTCTGTCTCTCTCTCCAGCAAGCATACATGCCCTATAGTAAAAATCTCTCTTCAAAAAAACCCCAAAAAAACCAAAAAAATCCCACAGGTATTTACCAATCTGTGTATCTTTCATCATTGATCTACTTATTTTTTTATAAAGAATTATTTTATTTATATGTATTTATTTATTTAATTTGACCAGATAGGGACAGAGTAAAAGAGAGAGAAAGTGGGAAAGTGAGAAAGCAAGAGGCACAGGCTGGAACTTGAACCGTGCTTTGCCATGTGGGAGTGCCCAGCGCCTTAACCACCATGCCACCTGCTGACCCTAGTCATGATGCATGTTTACATAGAAAAATACATTATGACTTTCCTAATGATCTGATAGTTTAAAGAACATTTGGAGGAAGGGCTGGCATGGTGCATACAGGCACATGGCCCACCATGGGCCATGATCCTCTCTCCTCATTTCTCCATCCTGTTGGGATCTTGGGCATGCATCGTGGGCATGCACGCACACACGCCCGGCGTGAGTTTTAAGCCACCGGGTCCAGGACACGAATCGCATTCGACTACGTGGGAGTCCAGCAACATAGCCATTACGCTAACTGCTGGTTCCCTGATCTGCTTATTCTTATACTAGTACTGAAAAAATTTAATTATTAAATATGTATTTTAAAATTTTACTTCTGGCAGAGGAAGGCTTCTCTCTTTATTATCTGTCTCTCTCTTTTAAATATTTATTTAAAATATTTATTTATTCCATGAGAGAGACAGAAAGAAACAGAGAGACAGGCACCCTCACCAAGGTCTTTACACTGTGATCCACCCCCGGCCTCCACCAGCTATCACCAAGGACACGTGGGTGTGCGTGGTTTGCATGGGGAGACCTCCAGGTGCAAAACCAGACCTTCTCATGTGGTGGCTTTATTGCAGAGTGTTATATTACCACTGCACCAGCATGGTGGATTGGACTTTTTACTCTCTTCTTAAAAATGTATTTATTCGGGAGCCAGCAGGTGGTGTGGTGGTTAGGGCGCTGGATTCCCACATGGCTGACCATAGTTTTGTCCCGGACGTGGTGGCTTGAAAACCACACTGATGGTGTACATGCCCAAAACCCCAAAAAGAGAATGGAGAAGGATTGCGGTGCGGCCATCCCCCCGCAGGTAATTTCTCACAGTCTCTCCAGCGACTGCACGTGCCCTATGGCAAAACCTAAAAAATTAAGTTATTTTTGTTGACATCATAATTTTCCACTGTGATGTTTTGATCATGTATACATTGAGTAATGATCTAGTTAGTAATTAACATACCATCTCTTTAAACATTTATCATTTCTTTGTTGTGAGACCATTCAAAAGCCTCTCTCCTATGTAAAATATACACTGTATTGTATTGTTATCTATAGTTTCTGTACCGTGCATTAAAATACCAAAACTTACTCCTCCTATATAGCTATTAATATAACTATCTTTCTATGTCAACTTTACAATCGTTTTATCCAGTTTTCAAAAAGCTGTGAAACGTTTTATTCAAATTGCATGAGAAATACATATTTATTGAAAAGAATCCACTTCTTCACATAATTAAGTCATTTCATTCTCTCTGTGGGGGACAGTCTTCAATCCAGATCAGGAACAGATAGCCCTCCAGCCATCATCCATCTGCATAATTAGTTGGCTGCGAAGAACACTGGCAGTTCAGACAGGAGTCCAGACCGTGGGACAAGCTGAGGTGTGATGGGGATGAAATAAAAAATGTGAATGGGCAAGAGGAAGAAAATAATGGGAGCAGCTACCCCTTCTCTGACCTGTGAACTGCCCAAGGTAACCAAAGACACCCTGGAGAACCTATCTGCCCCATTCTCCCTACTCCTAACATCTACCGCACAAGCTAGACCACACCAGGTACACGTCAGCCTCATCTGCACTGTGATTTCCCTTAGCTCCTCCCGATCATCTGCACTGCTGGCGCCTGGTGTGGCTCAAGGTTACAGCAGAGAATCACATACCACAGAGACCATGCTTAAGCTGGGTCAGGAATTATGTAGGGATTAATAAAATGCAATTCATGCTCAAAACGACACAATTATTTAAAATCGGCGCATTCTTCCTTTCTAATCCTCTTACATTTGCATTGGGACTGAAAATTAAAAGTTTGAAACTTTATAAACCCCATTTTTTCAATGGTATCCATCATGGGGATAGACAGCATACACAGTATGACTGATTTACTCTACAAATACTTACTGAGCACCTACTGTGTCCCAGGCTTGTTCTGGGTAATGACAATAGAAGATCAAACAAGAGTGAAGCTTTTGCCTTATAGAATTCTATTCGGGTGGAGTCAGGGAGAAGATAGTTCTTAAAATGGATCATTAAATGTACGACATGATATAGTGATATGTGCTGTGAAGGAATGTGGCTAGCGAGTGTTGGTGGGTCCTGTACAGGGTGCCAGGGAAGTCCTTTCTGATAAGCTTTGGTCTTTGAGCAGACATCTGAAGGAAGTGGGAATTGACAGCGTATGTTAGGTGAGGGGAAAGAGCACAACAGCCGGAGCAAAGGTCCTGGGGCAGAAAAGACTTGGGCATCTGAGAAACAGTGAAGAGATTAGAGCAGACCGTCTGAGAGGGAACACAGACAGCCTGGGGGGGGGGGGCAGTGAGTCACATGGCCCTGGGGCCTTGGTGTAGGCAGCTGACTCTATCCTGAGTGGAATGGGAGACCCTGGAGGGCTGGAATGCAGGAATGTCATAATCTGACTTTCTTTTAAAAAGGATCTTTCCTACTTGGTGTGAAAAAGAATACAATGAGGCAAAGTCGAATGCAAGGAGGGATCAGCATTTGATGTAAAGGCTATGTCGCTGAACTCCCATGTAGTCGCCCGCAGTTCAAGTCCCGGACCTGGTGGCTTAAACTCACACTGGACACATGTGTGTGCGTGCCCAAGATCCCGTGAGGAGAATGGAGAAGAGAATGTGGAATGGCCATCACCGGTGTGTGTGTGTGTGTGTGTGTGTGATTTCTCACTTTCTGTCTGTCTGTCTCTCTGCTGAGTGCATGTGCCCTATAGCGAAAACCTCTCCAAACAAACAAACAAAAAAGCAAGGAATGCCCATTAAGAGGAGGCTATCACCTCTTGGGAACAGGCAGGGATAGCAAGGGATGGAACTGCAGGGATTTCTCATAGATCAGGGGCAGGTCTGTGGAGACAGAGAGGGATACGCACCTGCTTTCATTCACCAAGGTATGAAAAAATCGCAGGAGTGGGAAGTTTCAGACGTGGTGTGATGGTGGTGCCTGTTGGGAATCCAGAGAGGGATCTGATAAGTCAGTTTCAAATCTGAGGGTCAAGAGAAAGAAAGGTCTGTGATGAGGATAGAAATCCAGCTTGTAGACAGCGTTCCAAACTGCAGGCTGAATGCTATTCCAAGGAAGTGAGTGTACACAGACAGGAGAAAGCTTGGAGGGCTGAGCACAGGCCCCCAGATTTTAGAGGTTGGGAGACGAAGAGGAGTGAGCAAAGGGATTCAAGCACTTCACGGACCAGTTTTTAACACATGTATTTCATATATAACATATATTTCCTCATTTACTCGATTGCCTTTGAAACATCATTTTTTTTTTTTTGGAGAGGTTTTTTGCTATAGGGGGCGTGCGCTCGCCAGACAGAGAGAGATATAGAGACAGAAAGCGAGAAATCACCCCCCCAGGGGGGATGGTCACACCGCAATCCCTTCTCCTCCATTCTCCTCTCGGGATCTTGGGCACGCACGCACACGCGCCGGCGTGGGTTTTAAATCACCGGGTCTGGGACGCGAACTGCTGTCGACTACATGGGAGTCCAGCGACATAGCCATTACGCTAACTGCTAGTTCCGAAACATCATTTTAAACATTTTAATAAGTAGATTTTGGGACCAGCAGATGGCATAATGGTTGCATCACGGGACTCCCACATGGCTAACCGCAGTTTGAGTCCTGGAGGCTTGAAACTCACATCGGGTTCATGTGTGTGCATGCCCAAAATCCTGAGAGGAGAATGGAGAAGAGATTGTGGTGTGTCCACAATCCCCTTGGGGGGATGATTTATCACTTTCTGTCTCTCTCTCTCTGTCTCTCCAGTGAGTGCACATAACCTATAGCAAAATATCTCTTTAAAAAAAAAAAGTAGACATTGGGAACCAGCAGTTAGCGTCAGAGCAGCAGTGGCATGAGATTCTCATAGGAGTGCAAACCCTATTGTGAACTGCACCTGTGAGGGATCTAGGTTGAATTCTATCATAGACCATTCTTCCAAATGCAGTTGATGGAAAAATTGTCTTCACTAAGTGGTCCCTGCTGCCAAAGAGGTTGGGTACTGCTGCCTTAAAGTATGCACAGTACGTCATCAGTCTCTAAAATTATTGGGATGTCAGGTCAGAAACCTGCTCCTATTCTAAGAAGAGTCCTGTGTCTTGTGGGTGGACAAATAGTATGTCTCTACTGTAACAGCTATTTTGATGAACAGCCTCCAGTTAAAACAAATGGGTTACATTGGGAATAGCAGCAATTCATGAAAATCTATTTGAGTTATTCATCAGGTAGAGTTACAGATTCAAATTAATGGATTAACCTAGGGATTTTTACACATGGCATTGAAGCATTCGTGGGTAAAATGACATGTTATTGTTTATCTGCTTTAAAATGTCCCAGCACCCACCCTCAATAAAGTTGCAGAGTCAGGAGTCTAAAGCTGTCCTTAATTTGGGAAGCTAGGTTATGAGTACATCGGAACTTAAACACTATTTCCTCTATTGTGGGTGTGTTTGAACATTTTCTTTTCTTTTTAAAGAATTATTTATTTAATTTGATTTATTCATTCATTTATTTGAATTTAACCAGACACACACACACAACACACAACACACACACACACACACACACACACAGAGGTAAAGTGAGAAAGCAAGCCTCCAGGTCCAGGACTTGGACTGTGGTCAGTCACATGGATATGTCCAGTGCCTTAACACCACCATGCCACCTGCTGACCCTGTTGAACATTTTCATTAAGAAAAATTACACAAGGGCCCAGCAGTTAGCATAATGGCTGTGTTGCTGGACTCCCATGTAGTCGACTGTGGTTCGAGTCCCAGACCTGGTGGCTTAAACTCATGCTGGGCATGTGTGCGTGCATGTCCAAGATCCCAAGAGGAGAATGGAGGAGAAGGGATTGCAGCATAGCCATCTACCCGGGGGGGTGATTTCTCGCTTGCTTTCTGTCTCTCTGTCTCTGTCTTTCTGGCGAGCGCATGTGCCCTACAGAAAAAAAAAAAAAAAAGACAAAAAAAAGACAAAAAACAAACAAAAAAACTCTCCAACAAGAAGAAGAAAAAGAAAAAAAAAAAGAAAAATTACACAAAAAGAAGAAAAGTATCAATGGTAGACTTCTAGGTTTTAAAATGACCTCTGGGCTCTTACCTGGTCCATAATCCTTTCTTGCAATTCTATTCTTCTGGCATAAAGCTTTATAAGCACTTTGAAATAAGCAGCATGATAGACAAATGTGAGGAACTATTAATGATTTATGAAATTTTCACTGGATTCACTGTGACTGACAGATGTCTGTTCTGTGTACTCTCTCTTGGCATAAGAAGTGACCAAGAAATGTTTCCTTTCAAGGTTCTTGGCTGTGCCACCGTATCTCCCTCACCTCCTGGCCCTTGTCACAGGAAAAGAGCTGGCAGAAGTCAAGAGCACCTGAGCCCCTGCTTCCATGGACCCACATCCGGGACAGCGGCACCAATCTGCACCTGCTCAGTGTCACCACTGCTAACTGATTTTTCCAAGGAGTTAGAGAATATCCTGTTGATGATGAAAACATTCTGTTTTCCCTAAGTCATTGCAAGCTTTTGCCTGAGAGTTGACACACTTCCAGTGTGCTAAGAGTTTGGATAAGGACAAGGATCCATATGATATTAAAGCTGGCAGGATCTTAAAGACATCATGGTCTAGACCTTGCATTCATCTGTGAGCGATAGATGGTTCCTACATATTCTATGGGCCATAGGCCTCTTCCATGGCCTTAGCTTTACTTTCACAAAGAAAGTCTAAGAAGCCTGCTTGCTGCCTTGTCACTGTGATGGGTCGTATTCTGGTGACAAAGTTCACTTTTTTCTTCTCCACCAGACTGGAGTTCCCTTGACTTTCTTTCTGGTCTTGAGTCTACACCCAACAGAGAATCACTTTCATCGTAAATTCTCTTCATAAATCAGAGTAATTTCTGTTCCTGGAAAGACTGACTGTGAAAGTATCCATTTCTTGTTTGAGAAACCAGACATCACACTGGTTGGTTTTCAATGGATCTGTCTCATCAGAATATAGTAATCTAACTGTAATATTTTTTCTCTTAACTTTGTTGGGGGACATGTGTGTCTATCAGTAGGAGACAGAGAGAGGGGCACAGAGGGAGAAAGCACCCTTCCAAAGGGGTGTGGTCACATCACAATCTCTTCTCTTTCATTTCTCCATTCTGTGGGATTTTGGGCATGCACACATGGCATACTTTTCAAAACCATGGAGCTGGGATTTGAACTTCGCGGTAAGCCATGTGAGATTCAGCTTTCTTAACTACTGGGCTATGAGGCTGGCCACCAATGATTCTTTTCTTTTTTTAGCCTTTTGCTATAGAGCATGTATACTTGCTGGAGAGAAAGAGAGACAAAAAGATAGTGGGAGGGAAAGTGAGAAATCACCCCTCAGGGGGGATAGCCACACCACAATCCCCTTTCTTCCATTCTCCTGGGATTTGGGGCACACATATACATGTGCCCAGCTTGATTTTCAAGCTGCCAGGTCTGGGACTCAAACTGAGGTTGGTCATGTGGGAGTCCAGCGCCTTAACCACTGTGCCACCTGATGGCCCATGATTTAGTCTCAAATAAATGTGGTAGAGCTTTACTTTGGCCTATTTAAATATTTGTTACCGTTTTCTCTCCTGACTGAGGAGACAGTCAGGCTAGCATGTCCTTCTTTGGAGTAAGAGACTCAAGTATCACTGTTTCCATGACCTTAGCTTTACTTTCACAAAGGAACAGTCTACCCCGAAGGTGAATACAGGTGTCTGCAATTCTTGCAAAGTCAATTTGAATAAGCAGATGTTCCTGCTTCTGTTCTTCACACCAGTGTTTCCAAGGCCTCAGAGCCAAGGTTTGGTCAGAGTGGAGTGCTTTGGCTTCCTCCACACTCAGCAGTCTGAGTGCAAGAGGAGAATCTCCCCCAGCCCATGGTGGAGGGAGCTGGCTATGACATGCCAGAGTGGCTTCCTTTCTGCACATCCGACTCTGGGAAATTTCCCCTTGTGCAACAACTCCTGTCACCATAAGATAAATAACTCAAATTTTAAAAATTCAAATACTGAATATTTTAAACAAAACTGAGATATATTAATTTATTTTCCCAAATCCATTCAAAAATGATTCATGCAACATCCACAGTGTACCAGGCACTACAGGAAAAGCCCTCCTTTCCTCTTATTGCCACAGATTACATAAGTTCTTTTTTTTCCCCTTTGGAATTCATGAGAGAGAGTGCATGTATGTGCACAGAAAGGGAGAGAAAAACACCCCCAGTAAGGTCTCCCCTCCCCACAACCTGCCGCTTGCTGTAATCTTGGGCATGAGCCTCTGTACTGGGACGTTTCTGGGCTGCTGTGCTGGGATCTGAACTGTGGTTGCTGCGGGCATCCAGCACCACCTCAGCTCAGCACCCTACCGACTGTGCCACCAGGGTGCCACGTGGGTCCCCTTTGGACACATCATCTCAACTAGGATGTGGAGCTTAATGCCTGGGGTGGGTGCCTGTGGTGTGAACATGCATTGAAGCAAAGATGGGATTTTTCATAACGTGAAGAGGCTAAGAATGAAGAAGAGAGTAAAACACAAGAAAATAGAGACCTTGAGCCTGGGGCAAAAATTGATCTCTGAGGATCCCTTTGGTTTACCGAGATCAGCAACTGCCCCAATCTCATTATTATATTTTTGAAATCAGGAATATCTTTTTTATACTTGTTATAATATTAACAGCATTCTTATTCTGAGGCCTTGGCCACAATCTTTATCTTCTGAGTGACAATACGTGGAAAATGGTGTGGTGCAAGTTTCCAGTAGGACAACTGTTGATAACATGAGCACTAAACCACCACCACAGCATGGTTGCCTCCTTAGGCAAACAACGCAGTCATAAGTAAGGGTCATGGAGGTTATAGCAAGAAAAAGAGAAAAGGCAGGGGTGATGGTAAAAGCATAACCTTGTGCCTCCTGGGTAACACCCAATAAATCAGCCCCTGCACCTGCTCAGGGCCTCAGGTCAGGTCCCACTCTGCCAGAGCAATGCCAGTCTGGAGAGGGGAGGACAGTCAAGCCATGAACCGTGAAGAGCGAAACTGACCAACGCCAAGGCTGCAGGAAAGGGATTGCCTGGCCTGCTAGTTTGTCAACAGGAAATTCACTCCTGGTCCCAGAATCTCAGCTGATAGTCATTTCTTTACTGATAACCTGAGTCCTCTTTTCTCCTTAATGGTTGAACTTCCATTGGTCCCCAAGGGAGGTGGACCTGTGTCGATGGTAACAGTGAGTTCCTGCTTGCTACGAGTGGCAGTGTGCCCTTGCTGAATTGCTGGGACAGTTTGTGTGGGTGGGAGGATAGAGAAGGGCCAGGAAGGGCTAAGGGCTGTGCCCACCTACAGTGCTGAACCTGAGGCTTTTAGCTGAAAAAAAAAAAACAACAAAAAACAAAAAAACAGAGTCACATCTCCCCTGCCATTAAATGATGTTCTGCAGCTATAGCTGGAAATGGGGAAGGAGTGACAGAAGAACGTGGAGAAATCCATGAAGAGAGGGAAAAGGGAAGACGGGTGACAGGCTGGGGTAAACTAAAGACTATAGGGAAAGGGAAATAAAATTGGTTCTACACTCATCCATCTGTCATGGCTCCTCAGTGCCTCTCTCTCTTTGGGCCCATGTTTGTCATATAAATAAATGCTCAGGTCTGGTCCCTCCAGCGCCTCCTTGAGAATCCTGAGGGGTTTCCGTGTGTCTTTTTTCTTTTTTGTTGATTTCTTTTTGCATAGTTTTCTCCTCTAAGGATATCAGTAGGTTTTTTCTTTTATTATTATTAATTTTTGTATTTTATTATTTTTACACAATACATATGCATTGTGTAATGACTCTTGACAATCGAGTTAATATGTCCGTCACCACGCAAGCTGTGCACTAGAAACCGAGAACTCGGTCACCTTATAACTGAAAGTCTGTACCCTTTGACCAATATCACCCTAGTCCCACTACCCCTGTTCACTTCTCTGCTTCTATAAATTCGACTTACCTAGGCTACAGGTAGCGTGAGATGATACAGTATTTGTGTTTCTGGGTCTGGCTTACTGACTTGGCAGAATGTCCTTCAGGTTCAGGGATGTGAAAGGCAGGCTTTCCATCCTTTCTACGCTGAGTAGTGTTCCACTGCGTACATCTCACATTCCTTTATCTTCTCACGGATAGGCAGGCAGGCTGATTCCGGAGCTTGGCCATTGTGAATAGTGCTGCAGTAGCCCTGGGGGTGCAGATATCTCTTTGAGATACTGATTTCTTTTCCTTTGGATATACACCCATGAGAGGGATTGCTAGATTTTATGGTTGTTTCATTTCTTTCTTCCAGGAGTGGCCTCTCTGTGAAAGAAATTAAGGTATATTAAAGATATCAAGCCAGCCCGTGGCCTCGTGGTTAAGGGAGCTGGGTTCCACATAGCTGACTGCAGTGATCCCAGTCTGGAGGCAAAATCCCAATGGGAGAGGGGATTGCTGCATAATTATGCCCCACTCGGGGGTTCTTTCTCCCTTTTCCTCTATCTGTCTCTTTCTGGTGAATGCATGCACTCTCTGGCAATTAAAAAAGAAAAGGATACCTAAAAAGTAAAAACTTTTTTAAACAAAATAAGGTATTTTTGGCAAAAGCAATTGTCATTTTAAAGGATTTTTAAAATCTGTTTCTATGTGTGCTGATCTTTCTACTCTTTCTTTTGTTTAAAAACTGTGTTCAATACCCACAAAGCTGTACGTGCTAACACCTGGTCAGAGGAGGGTGGCTGAATCAGGACAGGTGTGTTTGGCCAGGATATAAGGTGTGTCTCTGTGAGGGATAGGAATTACAGCCAAGATAATATTGAAGCTGTTTAAGGAGCATTATGACATCCTGGTGATGCTAAATTCTAATTACCTGCTGTTCACCCCAGGGTGGTGGGGAGAAGGAGGAGGAGAGGGTGATGCTTACAAATGGTGAGAAAGAGTGAGATTAATTCTTTCCAATAGCAAATTTGTTCCCAAAATGGCTAATGAGTATTTTTAAAGCCATGTTAAATTAACAGGCTCCAACTAGCTCACTGGTATTTCGGTTAAAGGAGACTAACTGGGGGGTACCCAGAAGAACTCTACACATAAATTGAATTTAATTGCTCAAAGAGTTACTGGGACTCTCTTTAGTCAGAATGGAAATAAGGATGAGCTGAGCGCTTGCAGATTTGCGTATTTAAGGGAGAAATTAACACCTGTCTCATCCTTGGAGTTGGCAGGGAAAAGCAAACTAAGGTTGTGGAACCTGCTAGTTTAAATTCTCTTCTGCCCTTACTTCTGCAGAGTCACAGTCTTCTCCGCTGACAGACCTTCCTACCTATGTGATCAAGCTCTCTGCTGAGATGGACGATGGAGATATTAACCAAGAACTGAAGCAGAAATTAAACTTCTCCTATTGTGAAGAGGAGATGGAGGATGAAGGGCAGATGAAAGCACCAGAGTGCAGGGAGAGCCAGACCCTAGGCAAGGGTGATGTTCAGGATTCAGAGGCAAAGTACACTCCACCCTGGACTCCCCTCAGTAACTTACATGAACATGACATGCTTCTGGAGAAAGGCAAAGAAAGTCCAGACCAGATCCTGAGGACTCCAGAGTCAGACCCTCTCCTATCTCCTGAGACAGCAGCTCAACTGGACAGCAGGAGCGAGGTGCTGCATGGCCACAGCCCCTCCACTCCCAAAGTAAGTTATGAGGACAGAGGGACTCGAATCACCAACATCTGTCTTCCCTGACAGAGAAAGAAAATTCAGTTGTTTAGGTGTGTATGATAGATTTGTCTCACAGGCTGTAATAGTTCCTCAATTACATATTTATTGGTGAAAAGGAAGAGTTTCTAGTTACCAGAGGATAGCTAGAATTAAGTATCCTGCCAATTATCTTCTTAAAACTGCTGGTGCCAGTAATTATTTGATATTACCACAAAACTTGGGTGGGAAAGAGGTCCTAGTTAAAGACTGTCAGCACTGGAAGCAATATTGAGATTTAGAGCCCAACCTGTGTGTTCTGCATATGAGAGAAGCAAGGCCCCAAGAGATAAACTATGACAGAGACAGGACCAACAGCTAGTCTTTCAGAACTAGTCTTTTATTTCCTTTACACCAACTGGTTCTATTTTTTTTATGGTTATTTACTCATATTTTTCTTTTTTTGTACTTTAAAAAATTTTATACATTCAATTACTATACATCACTTAGCTTGTAACATGAATTTACCCATCATGAATACACTTCACACCAGTCCAGTTAAGGATACTATACACGTTATCAACAGGTAATAATCCATTTCTGTGTCCCACAAGTGTCTTGCCTCTCTATTTTCCCCCTTAATTTCTTTACTCACACTTCCCCTTTTCCCTCTTCCCACACTGTCTCCAATATCCATAACTATTTTCCATGTTTCTATATCGTCTAATCTTTCAGTTTTCTGCCATCAAGTGTGGAAAGTCAGTATATATTAAGTGGAGATACACAATGTCTCACTTTCATAGCCTGGCTTGCTTCACTCAGCAGCAAATCTTCCATATTTGTCCACTTTCTATCAAAAGCCAGCATCCTGTTGGTTTTTTCTGGCTGAGTAGTATTCCATAGATTATATGCACCACACTTTTTCAATCCATTAATCTGTTCATGGACATTGGGTTGGTTCCATGTCTTGGCAATTGTGAATAATGCCACAATAAACATAAGAATGCTCCCATATTTTCTGTTTGAATTATAGTCTTATCTCTTTGCTGCTCCTCTTTCCAGAGGAGCTTCTCTTTCCTCTTTGATCTATTATAGCATTGTACAGTCTCTTCTATAATATGTGAGCAAAGAGGTAACTTATTAAAACTTCTTTATAAATTGAGGATGGCAAATAAGCAGGAGTCCCTAATTCTTTCTGTGATTGGTTTCCTATTACACTGTTCAGATCATTAAAGCTAGGGTTGGAGCAGGGTTACCTCTAATAGACTCTGGTCTATTAGACCATGGTATGTGATCCCCAGGATTGGAATTAGCTCGGCCTCCTGCTGACTCAGCTTGGAGTGCTTAGATGATCATAATAACATCTGTGATCTGACTGCAGCACAGTCACTGTCAGCGGGTCTCCTTAGTACCCACTGAGTATGGGTCCCACGCCTGCCAGGAAATACTAAGCTGCTTATCTAAATTGCAGATAAACATGCATGACCACTCATCTGTGGGGTTTTCAGCAGTTTCAACACGAAAAAATCAGTCTTCCATTTGGTTTCTGACAACCCAGCATGAGTAAGGAGCATAAGACATGGTCTCTACCCTCAAAGAGTTTACAATCTGGCAGAGAGAATGAGAGTGAGGAGCTTGTCTACAGACACTATGTGAAAATTGCTTTAACAGTTCTCTGAACAGACTGACTTTCAATGGAGCGGTCAGGAAAGAACTGTGAAGGAAAAGTATATGAAGGGCCATTAAAGTTGCCACAGTTTTGACATATACTAGAGTATGTGGATGAAAGAGCACACAGGAAAGAAATTGTGACATGGTGTGCCATTCACAGCTGACCTGACCACCTTGTGTTACCAGGCCCTCTGCATGCATACCTATTCACTGCCTTCAAATAGTGCCCACAAAATGAATAAAGATAAACAACTGAAATCATAATTGAAGCTCAGATCATGTGTGTTAGAGGATGGAAGATTGTGAGGACAAAGAATTGGGAATTGAGTCTCAAAATATTACGCAAGATTTTCCAAAGAGAGAAATGCTTGAGATAAGTCTTACAAGGTACTCAGAGATAGCCAGGCAAAGAAGAGGGGAGTGGGAACTCTAGGCAAAGGGAAAAGCATCCAGTAATGTAGAGAAAGGAAGAGCTTATGCTTAACAGTATGGTGTTCAGTGTGACAGGAGCTGTGTACGAGTGCTGAAAGTGATGCCAGAGTGAGTAGGCAGGAGCTAAATTGAGATTGTATCTAGAAAGTGTTGAGAGATCTAGCAAATGTCTTTCTGTAGGGGCTTTTATTTTTATTTTTCTTTGAAAAAAATTATGATCTTTATATATGGGATGGAATGGAGCAAGAGAGAGCCTGGAAGGATGGCAGTAACCATAGTAGTTTTACTGAGAATGGAGAAGGACCTGAATTGAATCAGCAGTTGCTAATGATAAATTAGGAGACATTTAGGAATTGGTAACTAACATGATGAAAAACTTAGGCGAAAAGATCTAGGGTGACTATAAGATTTCTTAACAGAGTAGATGGTATTTGAATTAAGTAGGTGACAGAAGATGTACAGGTTTGGAAAAAAAACACAGGCGTAGTATAAATACTTGGATAAATGGATCTGGGGTACAAGAAAACAATCTAAGTTGCAATCTAAGTTGAGATATCTACATATTTGGATATCTACAGCATTTAGGAAGCTGTTGAAGCTGTAGGGGGTGTGGGAGGGAATGTCACACAGTCTGAGTGCTGGAGTAAGAAGTGACCAAGTGACTGGATGATGCCAAGATTTGAGGATTAGGCAGGAAACAGGGCTTGAGAGGAAAAATGGAAATGCAAACTGGGAGAGTATATCCTGGATGAAAATATTTAAGTCATGGTCAGAGGAAAGACACTACTGTGATACTAATCTGTAGGTAGACAAGACTGCCTAGGAAAGAAATGACTTGGTATAGACCCCTCCATGGGACAGAATCAGAAATCATGTGAAATTGACTTCAGTTCACCATAAGGACTTCCTAGCAAATCATCTAGAGTTCAAAGAGTGACCTTAGGAAGTATTGGGTCACTGGAAAAGTCATGACATATTTTTCTGTTTTTGTTTTTTCTGAGCAAAACTGCATCATGGCTTTCCAACAACCTAATAGTAAGATCCTTGTGACTGAATGCATTGAATGTTAGTTGATGACCACTTGGTAGGAAGACTGTAGAAGGGATTCAAGCATCAGGGCCACCAATGGAGCCTTTAAAGTCCTTTACAGGCCCAATAATCATGATACTGTGTCTTTGTGGGATGTCAGTGTCTTCTCTTTAGAAGTCAAGGAATTAGCCCTTCAAATTTCCTTTATTGCCCTAAATCATCTGTAGTAGGCCTGCTATTTATGGAATTATCTACCCTTCTACTGTATATTCTTACTCAACACTTGTCACCTTTGATCTGCTTTATTCAGGTAGAATTTTCTCTCATAAGTCTTGTCCCAAAATGTATTCCTTTAGATTCCAAAAGGATTACTCATATTTTTACCTTTCTGGTAATAGTATGGATATTAATGTAATTAATATCCTTTCCTACATCATAAGCAGAGCTCACACACTTCTAAAAAATTATCTATTCTTATTATTTAATTTATTTATTTTAAACATTTGATCATTATAATCATTTGGCTTGTAAAGAGAATTTACCCAAAATGAAATACACCTCAGACTAGTCCATCTGAGAATACTAGACACGTTATCATCAACAGGCAATAAACCATTTCTGTGTCCCACAAATGTCTTGTCTCTCTATTTTTTTCTCCCTGATTTCCTTTCCTGTACTCTTCCCTTCTCCCACTCTCCCTCCACATTGTCTCCAATGTCCATTAACTATTTTCATGGCTTTTATGTCCTCCAATCTTTTAAACTCTACCATAGAGTGTGGACAATCAGTATTTATTAAGTGGAGACATTTGATATTTCTCTGTCATAGCCTGGCTTTCTTTACTCAGCAGTAAATCTTCCATATTTGACCACTTTCTATCAAATGCCAGGGTCTTTTTTTTTTTTTTTTTTTTTAATGGCTGGATCGTGTTCTATAGAGTATATGTGTGACACTTTTTC